TATGTATATATATATGTATATATATATGTATATATATATGTATATATGTATGGATACACAATGGATACACGCTCATAATAATGCCTCAAAGTGGTATTCAGGGTATGACTGAAATCTAAACAGGGACTCCATCTATCTTCATGTAGGTTCTGAAAGGTTCCAAGAAGGAAGTCCTGTCTTGTAAGCTACCTTTTAATCAACTCAGACTAGGGCTGGGCAGTATGACCAAAAATGCATATCACGGTATTTTGTAAGATTCTGGCGGTTTCACGGTATATCGCGGTATTTATTTTTCCGCATTAAAGCATTAATTAATTAACGCCGAAAAGAAACGGCCGGCCAGCGAGTGGTGAACAGCTGTTTGTGTCTTCCGTTCCGTCACTTCTTGTTTCCTTCATCTACATTCCCCTGGGTCCTAAGGCCCTCCATGTACAGCTTCTTATCACCCTCTATGTACCAACGTACATTTATAACAAATACCACACATATTACGGTAATCAGCGTTGCATATGTGTCCTAAATACCTTTTGTTGTTCAGTCTTTGTTCATCCTGCATCGCTCTGCTCTGTTCTTTAATGTAACGTTACTGGATCAACAGAGCCTCTCCCAGCTGTTAGCAGACTGTTGTTAGCGAGCTGTACCCAGCATGCAGTTCGGCGGTGAAATTTTATAAATGTACAATTATTACTAGTGTTACAAATTGTTTGTGTCACAAACTGTTGTGTCGTGGTGTTTGCCCTGTTAAAGAGCGTTAGTTGTGGTTATTAATTGTTGTTATAAAGTTATAACCATGACTAGGGTTCCCTCTCAATACACTTAAGATAACTAGCTCCGACCGTAGCGCTCCCAGCGGCGAAAAATATATTTTGCTGCCTGTTGAAGAGCGACAGAAGTTGTTTCGGCTATGCTGATGATGGTATATGAAAAATTCATATCATACGGGAAATTGAAACCGGTATACCGGTTGAACCGGTATACCGCCCAGCCGTAACTCAGACTCTCACCAGACTTTCAAATCGGGAGCTTTGACTGTGTTTCAACACCTCTAAATACTTTGAGATCTTTCAGATGCTATTTGAAATCTGTCCCCAAAATACAACAGGAGTTAGAAGGATTCCAGAACCAGACCAACCACCCAGGTCTTCCACCTGTTCAGGTCTGTGCAGGAAGAGTTGAAGTCCTCACATACTAAGTCTTTTAAACTTAACTGAAGTCTTTTGAATCTAAAGTAGTACTCAATCAGAGTCTTAACACACAGATGTTGTACTAATACTGTTGGAATCAGTGGGAGTTACTCTTTTTGGCATCTCTGATGTGTTCTTTAGAAGTTACCTGATAATCGTCATTGTTTTCTTCAGCATCACCACACTGTCCTAGAACATGTTTAGTTCAGCGTTCACACAGTGTTTCAATAAAAAGAGATTCACTGGGACTCACCCCCATTGGTGACTTCCTGAGAGGCGATGACAAATCCAAAACCTTCTCCCGCCTGCCTCCTTAGATCCACCTCCACCGTCTTTACTCCTCCTCTTCCGTCCTTGGCTATTGCTCCCAGTGCTCCTCCCCCAACGACTCCCCCTCTGATGGGGGGAGGCCCACCAGCGCTCTCCTCTACTCCCAGCAGATCACGTGGCTCTAAGGTCAGCGTCACGGGAACGGAGTCCAGGAAGCTGGTGCTCTGGATAAGGGCAGAGGCCGGGGGCCCATTTGGAGTCTGGGCAGGAGGGGCTCCTGGAAAAACAAGGAGTCAGACTGATGGAAACAGGAGGACAAGGAGGGACGAGGACTCGATCGGGGCAGTTACCTTGGTGGGTCCCTGGGGCTGGTAGGTGCCCCTCCTGGGGACTCTCCAGGACCAAACCAGCCTGATTGAGTGGGGAAACCCCCACTAAGGCACCCGTGGACTGGGAAGGCAAGTCGGCTGAAGTTGGGGTGTGGGAGGAAGAGGGCGTGGCCAGGCCGTGTGGGGAGGGGAGGGGCTTGTAGAGGTTGGGGGTGACGACTGGGGAAGACACGGGACCTGTCGGAGGGACAAAGGTATTCATTGTGATCGTCGGTTCACCTGTAACGCGACTCAAGCTTTTATTGGTTCACACTTCACGTACCTCCTCTGTAGACCAGGAGTACCACCTCTCCCTGTTTGGTGTGTTCTTGCAGGACTCTCTGGACCTGAGGACAGAAATTTACCAATGGTTATGTACGGAAACTTATATGCAGAGGTACCCCCCAACGCTAAAACCTGTTCCAGAAGATTTTTCCATCCTGGGATAAGAGTGAGGCGTCTCCAGAAACCAACTCAGGAACAGATGTCTCCTGGCGTCTTATCTTTTAACACCAGACGCCTGATAAACGAGCCATAGAACATCCTGGCATCACCCTCCAAGACCCAGGGAGGTTTAGAGAGGTTCAACTTGTCACCAAACTTCAGCATCTCTTTAAGAGAAGGACCCAAAACACCAGGACTACAACGTCCACTGGAGGACCACAGACCAGGAGACACAGTCTCTGAAAGACTAAATGGATGCTGTTGTCACGGAGAACCAGGGAGGAAGCCGGATGGAGGAGTAGGCCCAACCTCAGATCTGGTTGAACCACTAGTATCTCCTTGTTTGTCTGAAACCTACTGAGGCCTTTGGAGTGACTTCATGGCGACAGTCTGTGAGTCTCTGGACAGCCAATGAGAGTGGAGTATGGTGAGACTATGTTGACCTTTTACCTGAGAGAAGCTGAGGCTCTGCACGTCTGCTCCGTTGATCTTCACTATTGCGTCCCCCGTCTGCAGTGAGGGGCAGTGCCTTCGATCCCAGACCCGCCTCACCACCGCCAGCTGACCTCCTTGACCCGCCGCCATTACGCTGAACCCCAGTCCGCCGCTCTCACTGCGCCTGAGGGCCACCGGTACGAGCTCTCCAGAGGGAGCTGACCCGGGCGACCCCGCTGCCCCGAGGGGGAGCACCAGCCCTGGGTTCCCTCTGGAGCCTGGGGAGGGTGTTTGGTGATTGGCTGGACAGCCATTAAAGCCGCAGGATGGCACGTCTCTGGGCGGGGTCAGGGCGAGGGAAGTCTGGGGCATCGGTGGGCACTGCACAGGAGCACTGGGAGAGGAGGAGGAGGTGGGTTTGTTAGCGGCGGTGGGGCTGGTGGAGTTTTGCAGGAGGCCCGTCTCTGGCTGAGAGAGGGGCAGTTTGGACAGAGCGTGGGATGATGAGGAGCTGATGGGGAGCGTGGAGGAGGAGGGGATGGGGAGCGTCGACGTAGACAGGTCACTCTCTGAAGACCTGGAGCTCTGATGTTGGAGGAGGGAGGAAGACGAGAAGGCGGGGAGGGTGCTGCTGTTGTAGCGAATCAGAGAAGACCTGCGAGGGGGGGAGAAGAAAACCGATGTTTTATACAAATGAAATGTTGATTTCAAGAGCATCACAAACACTTATGTCAATTACTACTGATGCTACTGTTGATGCCTTGGTTCCACACCTGGACATAACCTCTCCTGACAAAGCTCCATCTCACCTGCGTGTTCCAGCGTTCGACAGGCCGCCGTCAGAGTCACTGTGGTGGATGGCTGCTGTCCTCTCCGGGGGTGGTGGTGGACCCGATGGGGGGTCAGAAGAGGAAGTGGGCGTCAGCGGGCCCGTCAGCCCGTTCATCATTGGCTGAGCAGCGTAGCAGGGCGGGGTTTGCCTCGACCCTAGATTTCAGAGTTATTACTTATTAGATATGTGATGGATTATATTGGATTTTTTTCTTGTGTTGTCGAATGATCGATATTAGTGACCATGTTTCTGACCTGGTGTGCTGCCATTGGCGTCCAGCGTTCGACTATATGTGAGGTGTGTCGGCCCGCGGTTCAGGTCGTGGGGGTCAGGCGGCTCACTGGGAGTCTGTGGCTGTTGAAGAGGTTCGGAAGTCAGATACAAGGTTGGCGATTAACACAGGGTCACTGTTGTAGAAGTCACGACATATACCGCACCGGCTCCAGACTCTGTTTGGGACATCCATCCGGGTTGTAGAGCATCGGGTATCCTCTTCTCAGCACCACGTCCACACTCTGACCCATCGACACCGACTTCAGCATCTCCACCACCTCTTTGTGAGAGCGACCCAGCACACAGCTGTCGTTGATGTGGACCAGGATGTCCGCTGGAGGGACCACAGACCAGGAAGACACAGTCAGTCTACTGCTTATTGGGTCTTAATCTGACCCACGAGAGAGTGAGATAGACCCGTAATGTGGTGTCGGACCAGACTTTGCTGATGCTAAACTACGTTCCAAACCCTGACAAACTTCACAATGTGGTCTTTACTCCATCAGGTCCCTGACAGTGTATCTGTAGGTTTTAGGTGTTTCCTAAAGCTGCAGGATGTGAAGACGTTTGTTCTGCAGCTTCTAAAATAATAAGTTAAATAAGTGACTTTATTCATGTGGACAAAATCCGTTTTTCTCTGCAGCTGAACAGCATTTAGTGTTCAGGAGTTTTCTGCTGCCTGTTGAAACTCTCTGCTCTCATTCCGTGTGTGTGTATGTGTGTGTGTGTGTGTGTGTTACATTCCTGACTATTTATCCTCAGTGCACGTGAGCAGGTCTGACAGTGTGGGAGAGAAAGGAGACTGTGTGTCGGACAGGTTAAAGAGTGTGTGTGTGCATGTGTGCATTAGTTGTGTAGATCATGAGATTGTGTCGTTGGTTCTCAGCTCTTTATTTTTCTCAGACAGCACCATAATCCTCCAGAGAGGGAGGAGTGTGTTTAAACCTCCATCTCTATTAGTTCACACCTGGCTGGACCCACCTGTCAATCACAGGTGTCATTAATCACCCTCGTTAATGTTATTAGTTCCACCTGTATTGTCAGGTAGACATGGCCTCTGATTCAAACAATAAAGAAATGAAGTGCTGTGATGATGGAACACAAACGTGGAGAAAGTTTAGACGAGGAACAAAAGTAAAACTTATCTTTGTGTTCTTAGGGCCCGAGCACCAACGGAGTCAGAGCGGAGGACCTATTGTTCTTCTAATGTTTATTATCGTACCTGTTTCGTCACAAAAAGGAGGTGCTTGGGATACTGGAAAACTTTTGAAATTTTGCACGCAAGCCAGAATTTGCGAAAATTGCAGTGTGATTGGGGTGTCCAGCTGCGGTATGAAATATTGGCTCGATAGCGCCCCCTATTGAGTAGCCCCAACATTGTGTTTCACCTAGCTGTATGAAATTTGGTAGGTATGTGGATCGTGATGAGACGCACAAAACAATTTTCACTAAACCAAACAGGAAGTCGGACATTTTGACTTTTATGACATTTTTGGACCGTTTCAAGGCGTCATACTTTAACGAACTCCTCCCAGAGATTT